ACTTAAGTCACCAACAAAAACACACAAAGCGACTTAGCACACATTTGATAACAGGGTGGAGTTTATCTCCTCACAAAGTGGAGTATTGAAAGTGTGTGTTGGACAGAAATATATATATAAATAAAAGTGATCAAATCTGCTGGGTGTAAAATATACATACAGCAACATGAATTAGCAATTTTGGTGCCTTAGAACGTTGTGTCAATGCAATGAGCTTCATGGCCTCTTAACCTCTTGTGAGTGCTTATGAGTGACTACAGCTGGTGACTCTGAGGCATTTAAATAGAGCTCATTGGATACAAACGCCCACAAACGCTACAATGGGAAAGTCAAAGGAGCTCAGCATGGATCTGACAAAGCGAATCATCGACTTGAACAAGTCAATGATTTTTATTTTAAATCCAAAAATAAATAAATATTTATTGTCGCACCCAAAGCAGTTTCACCGTGATGATAAAGACACACAACTATTCACTGGAAATAAAAGAAAGAAAATAAATCATTTGCAACGTAGGCTATTTGCCATTTTATTTTGTTAATATATAGGGCTATTTAATATGAACGAAATAAAACATACATACACATCTAATAAAAAATAAAATGCATTGTATGCCTACTCACCAAAGAGTATTTGAACACAAAATCCATCCTCCCTTCTTTCCTCAGGAAGACTTCAATGACTCTATCAGTGCGTTTAGTTCCACCAATAAGTCCTTTTCTCTCGACATGGAGGCTGATGCTGAAAGCCCAGTCTGTCCAGTAGCATTTCTGGAATACGGTTTAATTTGCTTTGAGGCGGAGAATGAGCGCTCGACAGAAGCCGTGGACACAGATAGTCACTGTCACACATGCCAGTGTGTGAAGTCGCCCCGTGTCCTCATTCAGATGTTTCTGCTTAAGGAAATCAAGGAGATCAGACGGACTTTACCCTTCAAAATGAGTAACAGCGTACATTACAGTCAGTTCTGTTTTTAGCTTGGACAGGTCGAACAGTGTTCCGTGTCTCCCTGTTAAGCTGGAGGAGGCCGTTTGCGGGGATTTCTTCCGGTAGGTCTGGAAGTGCTGGGGGTCCAGGAGGGAGAGGAACATTCATTTTTCGTGGTCTTGAACCCGGTTTCGTATAAGAATGTTGTCCAGAATATTGCTGTGGAGTTGTTGGCGGTACGTGCGGTCTCCTTGTGCTGGGTGAACTGGAGACGCTGTGTCATCGTAGATCGGACTGAACCTGCGCCTCTCTCGCTCAATCGTGTCACAAAACTCCTTCACCTTGTCGGGCAGAATTGTACATCCACAGTTTGTTTCTGTAGGATTCCAAAAAGCACATCCGAATAATGAAAAATCCCATTGAACGTTTCAAGCAAGAAACAAAACTCAAACTCATCCAGACGTTAAATCCATCAGCCATAAGCACAGTATTTACATTACAGGTCATTTAGCAGACGCTTTTATCCAAAGCGACTTACGTTACACTTTCTTTTTTACATTTGGCCCGGGGAGCAATGAGGGGTTAGGTGTCTTGCTCAGGGACACTTTGACTTGAGACACGGAGCAGCCGGGACTCAAACCTCCAACCTTGCGCTTCGCAGCACTCCCGCTGTACCCCCTGCACCACGAGGACCCGTCCCCGTCGTGGTCGTCATGGTGTTCCAGTAAGTGGGTAAAGGGCTCCTTTAGGGCAGCTCTCTTTTCAAAGACGGCATTGACCAGTCTAGATGTACATTGCCACCTCGTTGGTGCAGCCTTAGGAAGACGGCGCTTGCAGATGTCATCCAGCAGCTGTGTGCGCTTAGGGGATCGTGAGAGAAAGGCTGCAAGGCCGTTGAGGTTGGCCAGGAAGACCTTCTTTAAGCTCTGAGGCTCCTTGAGTCAGTGCTAAATGGAATCGATGTGCATAGCAGTGAATGAATAAGGCCATCGGTGCCCTCTCCTTAACTTTAGCCTGCACCCCATTGAGGCCAGATGCCACGACTGCTGCGCCATCAAAACACTGCCACAACTTAATCCACACTACATTCATTTCCCTCCAAGAAACGGAAAATAAGAGCGGCAATGTCCTCAGCCCGCTGGCCGCTTGTCACATCTTGAAATGGGATGAATCGCTCCTTGACTCCTGTGTCCGTCACATAACGCAGGACGAGTGGGAGCTGTGCTGCATTTCTCACATCTGTTGTCTGGTCCTCCATAACAGCAACAAAGGGAGCTTTTTAATCCCCATTCTGATCTCTTCTCCCATCACTTCAGCAATAGCATGAATTAGGTCATTTTGTATTTTGCCTGACGTCCCAATGAAGACTTGCTTAGTGGACAGGTGCTATTGCAAATCTGTGTTGCTTTCAGAAAAGAAAGAAAGAAGCTCCACGTAGTTCCCTTTGTTTGTGGAGTCACACTTTCATCGTGTCCCCTAAATGAACGTCACAATCAACGAGTCTTTTCAATATTTCCCTATTTTTCTTGCCCTCTTCATGGTGCAGCTCCGTTGCCCTGCGCGCTGGTTCGTTGAGCTGTACATCCACTCGGGTGTCCCTAAAGGTTTTGAAAAGCACCGTTGCTTGTAAGTGTCCAGCCGTACTTTGGTGTCTGGTTGCTGCCTTGGTTAGACAACTCAAGTTAGCAAAGCCAGTGTGGCTCCAAACACCAACTCCATCACTGGCAAATAACAGGCATTCCCAGCAGTCCAGTTTGCAGAGCTTCTCGGGGCCTGTGAGCCGTTGATGGCGCTCGTAGTTGGAACGAAGAAAGTGGCGAACGAACCCCTTTCCCGCCTGTGACAGGCTTTGTAGCGTCGGCCTCGGGGCGACCTCTCGGTATCAAATCGGTATCTTCTCCTCCTTCTGCCATTGTGGGTTAGAAAAACAGCTTAGTAGACTACTAAGCTGTTCATTGGAATTAAGATTTAATAGTAGTACACAAATTAATTCAGTTTCCTAGTTCTGAGGTTCTGCATGGACCTGCTCATATAGGACCCGCCTCTCATATTGGTAATCCCATCAAAAGACGTGCACGCACTACGAGGACGACTACAAACACTTCCAGGGTACGATAGAGGAACACCTTGCTTTAAACCACGGGAAGGCGCAGGTGATTGGACACAGGTGGAAATACAGGTCGATACAATCAGGGACACGGCGGACAATCGCAGGGCAGGAAGTGAAGCTAACCCAGGGACACAAGAGGCAGGAAACTACAAACCCACACATAGTCCTCTCTGGCAGAACGGGTGAGGAGGCCCTCATCCGGCCCAGTGGGATTAGGACATTTTCTAATGTCCCTTATCGCTTTCAGACCCAGTTGGGTCTCTACGTTGGTGTAGAGAGAATCAACGTCGATGGAGAAAAGCATAACACTAGATTAATAAAATGTTCCTAATCACTTCATAGGTGTCTTTTTATATATCTTTCATGCTTTTGGGACAAGCGGTTATTATGGATATCAATAAACTCTTCTACGAGACACAGTCTCTGCCGGTGGGAATCCGATGTGGGACCGTCCAGGTCTCTGGTCTAATTAAGGTGGTTAATGGGTTCTGGGGTAAGATTCCTTCAGGTGGATGAAGGGCTGGCGAGAGAACTCTGTGCTATAGTTGAAATGGTTCATCAGTTTAGATTTTCTGTGATAACTATAAAGGTCTCTGCAGAGCATCTATTTGTCCATCACTAGTGGAGCAGGAATGAAGTAGAAGCTCTTCTCCAACAGTCCTTCATCCCCCTGATATAATAATCATCTTTTATCAGGATGTGGCTTGAATTAAATTGCACTGTTCTGATGACGATCTGGTGCTCGAATTCAAACCTTCAAACAGAACTTTAACTATTGGACACATTGGGTGAACACCAACAGTGAGACACTCATTTATAGTCTGGTTATTGGCCCCTGATCCCAGG